CTGATCCTCCAGGCCACATCATGAGGCCGTGTGTGTGCTCTCACTGACACTCACCGCTGATCCTCCAGATCATAGCCAGCATCATCTCCCAGCCAGCTTGATCATCAAGACCAGTCCAGGTTTCAGATGACTCTTGATTGCAAATACCTTGGAAACTTCAAGGGAGCATAGCCCAGATGAGCATAATCCACCCACAGGTCCATGAGAGACAGGTGGTAACAATAAATTGCTGGGGGTTTTTTGAGACAGTGTCTCACTACATTGCAGTCGGTAGTCACAGCTCAATCAGCAACCTCAAACTCTTGGGAGGCTGAGGCAAGAGAATCGCTTAAGCCCAAGTAGCTGGGACTACAGGCATCTGCCACAACGCTCGGCTATTTTTTGGTTGCAGTTGTTGTTTAGCAGGCACGGGCTGGGTTTGAACCCGCCACCTTCAGTGTATGTGGCCGGCACCCTACTCACTGAGCCACAGGCTCTGAGCCATAAATTGCTGTTTTTAAGACACTGCTTTTAAGATATCTTGGAGCAGTTTATAATTAATAATAGACAACCAGAACAATTACCACCTAGTCTTTACCTGACAAATCAGTTCACATCTTTGGATCCCAGTCTCCTCATCTGTAAAATAAGAGGTGAGCTAGAACAGATAAAGGTCACCTTAAGCCAATGATTCTATAGCTTCCATTTTTCATGACATCCTCAAAAGGATGATCAAAGGTATATCTGTTTTTTTAATTGAAATAACCACAAAGTAAGATCATTTCAGAGTAAGTCAAGCTTCTCTTAGTAAAATAAAATGTTTAAGGAGAACCAGAAAGAAGTAAATGATATACCAATAAAGAGGAGAGAAGCCTAAAAAGAATAGTGCAAGTTCAATACATTTTCTCATTCAAAAACATAAAACATTTACTACTTACTCGCTATTGTATTTAACACGCTTGATAACGTAAGTCTTTTTATCAATTCTGTGTTTTGCTTTGAAAACTTGGCCATATCCACCTTTGCCAATTGGTTCTATTTCCTTATAATCCTTGGCAAACCTTAAAGATAAATACCACTGTTATCCTGAGATTCAGTGTCCACCCCTTCCCTCCTGCCATCCCCCTTTCCCTATTTGTGACCTTTCCCCACTTGTGAAACAGACTATGTAATAAACGTGACTCTCTTTCTGAGTAAGAAAGGTCCACCCAGCAGAAAACTCTTGACTCACAAAGGGCAGTCCCTTCCTGTCCTCCTCTCACTGACAGTCTGACATAACAGATCATCCCTGGGAGTCACAGTCAATTCAAGAGACATGATAAAGAATCCTATCACAAGCATAAAATATTAGAAAAGATTACCATATTGTGTGCCAGAACCACCACCAAGCTCTTATGAGAGAAATGGGTGTATACTCTGAGCCTGCCTATGTTGGTAACCACTTGGCTGTCTCCTCCTCCTCACTCCCCACATTCCATCATTAAGTCCTGTCAGTTCTACTTCTAAAACACCTGTCTGGTATCTGCCCACTTTTCTCCACCTCCAACATCACCACCCCAGCTCAGGCTTGCCTCAGGCTCCTGCAGTACCTTGTTAAATGGACCCCTGACTCCCTCTCTTGCCCTGTTCCAATCCACTGCCCACACAGCAACCAGAGAAGCTGGTCATAGTTCAACCTTTGCATTCAGCAAAAACAGAGAGCCCTTAAGTGTCCTGAAAGGTGCCACATGATGTGGCCCCAGCCTCCATCTGCGCCTCATCTCATGGGGCCGTGCCCTGCTCACTGTACTCCCTCCAAGCCTCCTGTCTGCTTCTGGAACACTCACATCATCTTTTCCACGCTCTCCTTTCCACATACTCCTCCTTGCACACAGCACAGAGCCTCCCCAGTGCCCTGTACTAACTCAGCCTCTGGGCCCCAAAACTATGACCTCAGAGAACCTCACCTCACCTTTCACCCTAAATTCAAGGGTCCTGTTTCCATTTCTCACCATGCAATTGCTTTTCTTCAGAGGTCTGACCATAGTTTGTAATGGCAGATTTTCCATATAATTGCTTATTTAATGTCTGTCATCCCTACAACATGCTGCAAAAGCAGGGACTGTTTGTTTCTATTTGCTCCTACTATAAATCCAAGTCCTAGCACAGAGCCAATGATGTATCACATGCTAATAAATATTTGCTGATTCTTTACTGCTTTTTAAACTTATATTCAGTGCCCCCTTTTGCCAACAGGCCTCCTTTACTTTAGATATTTAATTTAAACCCAAATACCCTTTTGGTTATTTAGAGGAACCTTTTTTTCGAGTGAAAAATTTCTGCTATGGAGCTGAAAAACGGCTCCACTATTTAGGTGGATCAATTCTGATCCCCCACAGTAGTACTTTTTTTTTTTTTTAAATCACTAGTTTGCAAGACTTTTTGCTTTCCATATGAAAATCTTCCACAGATATCAGAGAAATCCACACAAGCCTCAGAGGGATCTACAGTTCCCACATTTCCTTTGGGTTTGTCTAAATCTTACTTCTCCAAGAGACAATGATCCTTTGTGGGGCTGATATTCCTACAACAATTAAACTATTCAGGTGGAAATATGGTTTAATTTTATAACGAGTCCTTAAGAATCTTCTGTTGAATGAACAAATGTACGTTTAAGCAATTCTATGTCACAGTTCCATCTCACCTGTCGTTCACCGTATACTTGCTTCCATTCATCTCAGGTGGATCAAATCTAGGTGCCAACTTTCTAAAAACGAAGAAGAGAATGTCAAACTCAAATGAAACTGGAATCAAATCCATCTTGTTTAGAGCAGGTTTCATGCCTTGCACTAAGTTTTTTTTCTGTTTGAGTCAGCTATTAGAATAACAGAGTAGCACGTGTTAACCTTTTTCTTTATAAAACTACATACTATGGTTTCTCCTCTGTCCTCTAATGTTGCATCTCTTTCCTGCTTCCCTTTTTCACTTAAAACACTCATTGCTGATGTGCCACTAGCCTCTCTTTTCTTCCTCTGGACTGGAGACCTCAGAAAGTACATCTCTGTGTACCCTCATTCTGGCTGTTATTCCCTACTAGAGATAAGCCACCTGCCAGTGGCAGTTCAAACACCACCTAAAACTAAAAATATCTGAAATGCCACATTCCCTTGAAGCCTTCAGGTTTTCAACTTCCTTCACACCCTCAGTGCTGTGATTCCTGACCGTGTCTCGTTGCAAACAGTGTCATCTTCAACTCCTTTCTCCTTTTAACTTCTACTTCATGCTCTAACCCAGCTATTGGGACTATCTCCTCAAGACAGGTCTACTGTTTTTTGTTTTTATTTTTTACAGTCTTTCTCGCCAATTCTCCTCATCCCTCCTCACTACCACAGTAACCACGGCTGAGGGCCTAATCAGCTCACATGTGAAGACCTCTCTTCTCACCATCCACACATCCACATCAGTAATCATCTCCTTCAACACTTCTATCTACCCCTCAGAATAGACTGGTGGTTCATAGTGGCTCCTGCAGCCATCTGACCCTCATATTTCTGAGTATATTTATAATCTTGCTTTTCTCTTCACTTAAAGAAACCAATGCACCAGAATTGACATGATATTTGATTTTTTTACTGTCACCCAAGTTATTACCCTACTTTAACCCTACTTATTTGCCTGCAAAATAATGCACTTCTCTTGAAAACATCTCTCCAAGCCCACCTCCTTGTCAGCCTCTTCCAAAATAACAACCTTGCTGTGATGGAAGACTGGGTAAGGCTTGGACTCAAAATAATACCCTTAACTAATTACTTTAGCAATATTCCCATAAAGCTTTATGTCTATAGTGTAGCATGCAATCAAAGATTTCCCCACACATCTAAATTATGTGTTTGTGTATTTAAGCCTTCAACTTCTTCTGAAACTCCAATCAAATAAAGGTGTACAACATTCTAAAATATTGAAGACAATGTATAGCAGATTAAGTCTAAAATAAAATTTCAGTTCAAACTATGTTCAAATGAATAATGAGACTCACCTTCTTACCTTCTTTTGATTATTTATGAGACCGTTCTATAAGAAAAGAAAACAGGAAATATTTTCAGATGATTAAAGCAGTCATCTTACATTCTCTTGTTGTCCTCCCTCCTGTATTTCTAGAGGGTTCTATGACTACATTTCTTAGTCCATCAATATCTATATTCTCATCAAGCCCTGTACCAACACTTAGTACTCCTAGACTTGTATTTTGCCAATCTGATGGGTTCGAAGGGATTCTAATTGTGGTTTTGAATTATATCTTCCTGATTCACTTTACTGTGAATCACTTTTTTATGTTCATTCCCCTCTCTTCTCTGAGTTGTCTATTCAGATATTTGGTACATTTTTCAAACAGTTGCTTGTCAGCTGGGCACGGTGGCTCACACCTATAATCCTAGCACCCTGGGAGGCCAAGGCTGATGGATTGCTTGAGCTCAGGAGTTTGAGACCAACCTGAGCAAAAGCAAGACTCTGTCTCTAAAAAATTGCTAGGTGTTGTGGCAGGCACCTGCAGTCCCACCTACTTGGGAAGCTGAGGCAAGAGGATCACTTGAACCCCAAAATTTGAGGTTGCTGTGAGATATGATACCATAGCATTCCACCCAGGGTGACTGAGTAAGACTCTGTCTCAAAAAACAAACAAAAACCAAAGTTGCTTGTCTTGTTGTTGCTTTGTATTTCTTTATAGACAGAATACTTTTGTGACACTAATCATCACATTAAAAATTATTTGGCTCGGCGCCTGTAACTCAGTGCACAGGGAGCCAGCCACATACACCAGAGATAGCGGGTTCGAATCCAGTCTGGTCCTGCCAAACAACAATGACGGTGGCAACCAAAAAAATAGCCGGGCGTTGTGGTGGGCGCCTGTAGTCCCAGTTACTTGGGAGGCTGAGGCAAGAGAATGGCTTAAGCCCACAAGTTTGAGGTTGCTGGGAACTGTGACACCATGGCACGCTTTTTTTGAGACAGTTTTTTTTTTTCTGTCTCAAAAAATTATTATTTTTTTGTTTTTGTTTTGTTTTTTCTTTCTTTCTTTCTGTTTTTTTTTTTTTGAGATGGAGGTCTGTCTATGTTGCCCAGGCTGATCTTGAACTCCTGGGCTAAAGTGATCCTCCCACCTTGGCTTTCCAGGGAGCTGGGACTACAGTCACATGCCACCATCCAGCTAAAACATTATCTGGTTTTTAAGTTTAGTTTTAATTTTAAGTTTAGTTCTGATTTTTAAAACAGAACTAAACAAATTAAACAAAACTATATTAATGAATCTTTAACTATTACACAGCTGGTGGGAGAGAAAAGCAAGATGACAGGAACATACTGTGGAGAGTATGGAAAGCTGAAAGTGAGGGATGGAATAATTGCTCATGTGAAGAATGGGGGTTCATAAGCAAAGAGGGAGTCCAAAGATCAGTGCATGAAATAAAAACATGAACATTATGGTGGAATACTAAAGATCATTTTACAATGAGGAAATACAGACGAAAGCAAGATTAATAACGAAGCTTAGGGACGAATACTATACCAGCGAACAAGAAGAATTTTTGACATTGTCATCGTTATGACTTATTGGTGCATTTGCTGAAAAGTCACTTTCAGATGATGATTCAGAAGCACTAGAAGAAAAGGGCACAAATCTTAGTTTATCAGTTCTATTTTTATCCCTACCTTCTCTAAATCTTCCTTAACCATTAAATGTTTTCATAAAAATTGCTCTTTCGAGGCAACAATTGGCATCATTAAATGTCATAGTTGATTGCGGACTTACCACATGCTATTGTTAGAAGACATGCTTCCAAAGTTACTCGGAGAAGTAAAAGAATCGGATAATGCTGAGTCAAATTTCTGAAAGAAAGAACAGCCCTTCGTATGCTTAAAAGCAACTACATTACTTTTCCCAGTCTCTGTGTACTATCACATTGATGTCCCCACATGTGCCAAGACTACAACTATAATTCCATTTTTTATGGAGGACCGCTCTGCATTTAAAAACACCCTGAGTTGCCAACAGAATTTTTATCCCACTGGGGCCTCATGGCTCCAGAGGAGGAGGAGTCATTTTGCTACATGACTATCCGGCTGCCTCAGCATTATGCAAACATAGTCTCACCTCAAATCAACTTCACATGGAATTTTAAAATATAAAAATTAAATCCAAAAGCCGTTACATACCTTAGAGCTTCCTTCTGGGTTTATCTGAAGATAAGCAAGTTTAGCAGCCAACTGTTTTGCCTCCTGTTTAGTAGAACTTTTACCAATACCGTATTCTTTCTGCCCAATTTTGCATTTATAATGAAATCTAGGAGAAATGAGTGAGCACTTAGGCAAATATGAAACATAAAGTAAGTTCTAAGTTACGATTTCAATAAAATGACATATTAGCCAAGAAATTAAGACAACAGTAACGTATTAGGTAGATTTATATTTCATATCTTGGGTATGAAAGCTTCGGTAAGATGGCTGAGGAATTTGTCTAAATAACTGGGATGAGCTGATGTCTAACTCTTTGCTGCTTTGTTGAAATACCTGACCCAAAGGCAGGAAACGGTGATTTTAAAAATTCCATAGAGATCAAAAGATATGGAAGTAGGGAAGGAAGAAGGAGACCCAGCGAATTTTTCAGAGATGCTCAAATGGGAAAGAAAAGGTCAGTAGAAAAAGTGAGGCTTCTACAGCAGAAGCTATTAGGTTATAATCTTATGGCCTTTGTAGGAGATGAGTACGGCACGATTTTGCTCTAACCTCAGCATCTTATACCACCCGCTATGTGGACAAAACTTAAGAAAATCTCAACAGTGCATATGCCCCACTCTCGCTATATTAGATGTAAGAACACTTGTGGTTAGGCAAGGATACCTGGACAATTATATAAGAACTATTTTTAAGGGGTAAAGCAATTATTCCACGATAATTTATATCATGGAATTACTACATATTATTGCAAGATTATTCCAGTATTTTTATTTCTTTTACTTTGGGTTTCAGTTGAAGGCATAGAGAGAGGCACATCCAACCAGAGTAAATCTTCCCTGGCGGGCACTGAATCAAAGGGCTGGGCTGAGCAACTAGATCACTGCTGTAGCCTTTGTCTTATTCAGGCACCCACCCCCGCAAAGAGACTTCTTCTCTCTTTTAGGTATCTAATGTTAGAGCGCTTAATTCAAAGGAACCAAAAAAGTGATCTATAGAAAAATGAAAATAAAGTAGAATCTTAGTTATTGAGGTTGACCCACAGAATTCACTTTTGACCATTTCATTCCAATGAATACTGTCACATTTTTCTCTTCCTAGTTCCGGGCCAAAAGCCATCAGAGTAAAAAGTAAATGGCTGAGTCACCTCATAGGCAAGTGTACTAAATGGGACTATTTGCCATTCTGGTTATCTTTCCTTCTCCCCATTTCACTGGTTAGTTGTAGTTGAGAACAATCTCCCTCATACTCATTTGCTTTCTGCTTTTTTCCGGTTCCACTCTGTTCTTTAGCCTCAATCCTACACATCTCAGTTCACTGGTGATGTTCTCAGTAACTCCCAAGCTCTAGTTCATCTGCCTCCCTCATCGGGTTCCTCAAATGCTGGTCTCCTCGCAGTCTGGGGCTGGAAGGCATTCCTTCTGATACATGATACTTGTCCATTTGATGAAATACGAGGGGCAACTGCCTGAACAAACAGCTCCCCAATCTAACAATAGTGGGGAATCATTGAACAAACAGCTCCCCAGTCTAACAATGGTGAGGAGTCATTCCGCACTTGTGCCACAAAGGTTGTTACCCAGTAACCTCTATCGTGACCTTAGTGACCGGCTCTCCACATCCTTCAAGCAGCGGCACCCTGTACTCTCTCCGGTGGCCCATGACTAAACCATCTAGAATAGACCTTAGAGATAAAGGATTACCTGAATTATCAATTCCAGTAGATGGATCTCACGGCTGCAGTAATTAAGCATTCTAATTACAAAATTAAGCCCCCATTTGCTTATGAATCATATAAAACCTTCCATACAGAATGCATAAGGAGAAATACTTCCAGTAAATTAGATAAGCATGGACTTATTTATAAAAATAAGCCCCACTTTATTGTTAGAGACAATAAAACAGAAGAAAGTTGAGCTACATCCTACCTTGTAGGGTCCCCTGATTCACACTGTTCATAATTTACAGTTAATTTTTTCTTCTGGGCCAACCTATTAACAAGGCCTATGTAATTCCCAATACTGCCTTCTGAAGTATCTGTAGTTGTCAATGATAAAGGACTAACACCCTACAAAGAAAAACAATGTGGTTAGGTAAATGACACCACAAATTTAACTTTTTAATTTTATTTTGTAATAATATTGTAAAACAGCCCCCGGCAGGTCCTTCAGGAAGTATTCCAGAAGAAGGTATTGTTATCATAGGGTGACACATGACAGCTCCACGTGTGCTGTTATCCCTGAAGACCTTCCGGGGGACAAGACAGGGAGGTGGAAGACAATGGTATTGATGACCCCGACCCACTGCAGGCCTAAGCTGATGCATGTGTTTGTGTCTTAGTTTTTAGCAAAAAAGTTTACAAAGTAAAAAGAAATAAAAAATTTAAAATAGATAAAAGCTTACAGAATAAGGATATAAAGAAAGGAAATACTTTTTTTGTACAGCTATCCAATGTGTCTGTGTATTAAGCTAAGTGTTACTGCAAAAGAGTTAAAACGTTAAAAAGAATTTTAATATTAATGAAGTAATAAAGTTACAGTAAATTAAGGTTAATTTGTTACTGAAGAAAGAAAATGTTTTTTATAAATTTAGTGTACCCAAGTGTATAGTGTAAAGTCTATAGAGCGTGCAGTAAGGTCCCAGGCCTTCCCATCCACTCACTGCTCACTCAGTGACTCTCACGGAGCAACTTCCAGTCCTCAACCCCCATGCGTGGTATGTGCCCCATATAGGTACTATTTCTTTTTTTGTTTTTTGCAGGTTTTGCCTGGGGCCAGGTCTGAACTCACCACCTCTGGTATATGGGGCTGGTGCCCTACTCCTTGAGCCACAGGCGCCGCCCTAGGTACTAATTCTTATCTTTCCTATTATATTTTTACTGTCTTTTTCTTTCTTTCTTTTTTTTTTT